CATGAATATGCTTGAACAGGGTTTTTAACATGACGCGTAATTTCTGTTGTATTTGACTCAACAATTTGGTAAAATAATTCAAATATTTTCGTAATCAAATAAGTGTCCCTTGCATCAAAATAACTCCACTGAATACAATAAGCAATTTTAATTTCCTGACTATAAACTACAATTGGCAAAAGTATGCTAGATTTATAATGTTGTAAACAGAATTACAGGTAAAAGGAAATGTGGATGAACTGATTACTTAATATAAATAGGTAACCACACACTGCATCAGATTCCTTACAATAGAGGACTGTATCACAAAATATTCTTTCACAGCCCTTGCTTTAGAATTAATACTGAATACTTTATTGGCAATATTTTAATGACTCTCTGATTTAGAAAATGAGTCCCCAAAACATTTACTTTGAGTCATGACGACTACCCCTTTTCAAAGTCTATGTAAAACTCTGAATACAACGTCTGCATGAATTTTATGTAACCTGGCAAAATACATGCCTGCTTATCTGCCAAAGATTATTATCACAGACAAACACTCTTTTATCATATTTCTCAACCAACAACCTCATAACACACAAACTGCTATCTGTAAGTTCAAGGTTTTTCACTGTATTTTGCTATACTTTAAAAACACAAAATTAAATTTGGGAACATGTCGACTTTCTCATGAAACAGAGATAATTCCTGTTATCTCCCCATGTCTGCTGTGTCAATGCCTGGTCTTGGTCCTGGAAGACCAATATCAAAGACAATTATTATTACCTGCCTAATTTCAGGTGAACGACAGCCAACTGACTATCAAACACTACAAAGAATGCTGAGACCACTTTGCATTTTAGTACAGGTTTAGTCTAAGTATCGATAAACTTTCTAGGATTTCACAAATGCCAGGAGTCACACTGACTGACTGAGTTTGGTTTTACGCCGCTTTTAGCAATATTCCAGCAACATCACGGCGGGGGACACCAGAAATGGGCTTCACACATTGTACCCATGTGGGGATTCGAACCCGGGTCTTCGGCGTGACGAGCCAACGCTTGAACCATTAGGCTACCCCACCGCCCCCCCAGGAGTCACATGTCACACCAAAAACTCATAATGCTTGCATTATACTTCAATTATTTCTATTGAGTATAACAAGTAAAATACATTCTACAAAAAGACCAAGTATTCCAATTTTGTTATGGCAACAACTTGAAACGACTGCATTAACAGGCGCATAGCAAGCCAATGTTTTCGTGTAAGCCCGATAGGCTGCAAACCTTTAGATTTAGTTAGTATTGAGGGCTTGCCCAACCTTTTTACCAACAATGTGTAAGCCCGGCTTTTTTTATAATGGTAGCTACGCCCCTGATTAAGGTCTCATAAATGACTGTATAACTCTCCTCTTTAAACTCTAATATTATGACATGTTTATTTAAAAACTTTAGGTGATGTACATAAATTCATTTGAAGACAATAACATTCAAAATGTGTCCATGGTGAGCTGTCCAATTATACATTCACCTTTCTGTCAATTGTTGCCAGGATATTCCTTGTGCTGTGTAATGACAATTAGAAAACTGTTACACCCTTCAGGCTTCATATAAAACCTTGTATTGTGTCACTTGGCCAAAAATTACTTGTCAGTATCTAAAAGAGAAGTCGCTACTGGTGTAACTGGTTTTCAATGCTGTGCTACCTTCAAGAATGACCAACTGCAGATGCCATAAAAATTGTCAAACTTTTCACCTCCCTCCCCAAAAGAAATGATCAAGTCATTCCATTGTTGGGCAATTTGATCTTAACATTATATTCATGAATCAAATAATTAAAAAGTGAAATGCCATAAACTGAGTGGAGGTTTTTGAACGGAACCAAGTGCACTTTAAAGCTGGTTGACAGGTCAAAACATTCAACAGTTTCAATAAAATAAACACTGTGAAGAAGTCTGCAATATATCAAAGCAAAAGACACTTTCTTTTTGTAGATTGTTTAAAACATGAGCCAAACACTTCACAACATCTAAATTATTCAAATATTAAAACATATCACAAATGAGGAGGGTCATGATAATCAAAAGTCACATGTTCCTGCAAATGTATTCAAACATTTAAATCAAGCGAGGACCTGAGAAAAGTGAAATATTCTGGTCTGAACCAGTCAAACAGGTAAAGCTGATGAAATCGTACTGGTACGGGTCAATTGTAATGATTTCGATTTAACGCCACTTGGAACACTATTCTAGTCATTTTACAACATGTCAGCTTGAAGTGGCACACAAGCCTGAAGCGGATTAGGACTCAGACGTTAACCACTTTGGTAAAACCCACAAACACAGTTATGATGCTGAAAAACCTTCACACATAATTAGGGCATCAAGTTCAAGGAGGGAAACAGAAAGATGGCTCACATTTGCCAGATAAACCTGAATTCACGTCATTTATCACCATTAAAAATTTGGTATGTAGAAATAACACTCCAATTTCTTAAACTGTAATTTAAGTGAAGGTGGAAATACTCTTTACCCAGCTAGCTCACAAACCACATAGTGGATGACATAAAAAGCTTTTTTAAGAACACTGGCGCTAAACATTTATATCAAAAACAGTTGTTGAAATATTAGCAAATGAACAACATTTCTGTGGGAATCTGATAAACACATGTATTTTCTTTTAAATGCCAAACAACAAACCCAAACATATCTTGACTGTCTGAAACCACCAGCCGTCCAGTGTTGGAAACATAGGAGACATTACTCTGTATTTTTCATTTGTCCATGAATTTGTTGGACCTAATAAAAAATAATTGGTTCCAAACTAATCTTAAGTACTGTTTCCCCCCTTTTTTTAAATCAAGCTGCAAGCATAACAAAGAAATACTGTAAGCTTAGCAGTGTCTTGTATATTTCCATGTGTGGTCTTTGGTTAGTCACAGAAAGTACAACTGAAACAGAATGAGGTCAGCAATTATGGCCATGGAATGGGAAATAACATGTTAGGTGTTATTCCTAGAATGTCACTGAGAACAGTGGAGATTAACCGGGTCCCATCATACACAACAACTGAAGATGTGGAGGTAACAATGCCAAACTGACAGTCTAAAGTCTCTGAACAAATGATTTAGTTTAATTCAATGATTGAATTGAGTTTGCGATTTGTATGACATGTACATCATAAGTATAAGTGAGATGATCCCAGAGTTCCTGGATGTGCGTCCCGCTGCTGGACCATTGCGTGCTCATTATGACAAACATGGTTAAAGATTAAAATCAGATCTAGTGACTGCAATCATAGGAACAAGTGATAGATTCAGATCTGAATCACAGAACACAAAGTGAAGTCAACATTGTGGAAAATGTAAGAAACGTTCCAAATTTCTCAACAAGATATATCAATGTCCTAAATTATTTCAAGGAAAAAAATAAAGACTTGGGTTCATTTCCCCACATGGGTACAATGTGTGAAGCCCATTTCTGGAGTCCCCCATCGTGATATTACTGGAATATTGCTATAAGTGGCGTAAAACCAAACTCATTCATTCACTCACGGAATTTATTTTTTTTTATGATGTTTTAAGAAACAGTAATTACAAGCAATTTCTGTTGGACAACAGTCAAACAACCTTGGTCAAAATGTTGTTTTCATTATTTTTGGGTAAGGGGCATTTGAAAACACCAAAACTTATCACTTTTCTTCATGATATCATGATGAGCTATTGTTTAGTTAATAGGCAACTGTTCAGTCTGGTGAAAAAATTGTTAGTGTTTGGACAATATAAAGGTTACCAAGAGTACTGCCTGTGTTTGTTGAACAGCTGATTCGCCCACAACTGACAGTACTCCTTTCAAAAACTGCATGGGTAAGTGTCACAGATTCAAATAACTAAACAATATGTGAAGATCTAGGGATATTCCACCACAATACCATAGACCACCAATATTTTTGTTTGTATTAAACTCTCAACATCATTATCATCCAACCGACTAAAGTTCTGCAGCAAAAATGTGTCTCGTCAAGTCCTAGTTTGCTTGTCGTTTTTAACGCCACACTCAGCAATATTCCAGCTGTATGACCCCAGACTGACTGACGTTATGAGAACTGTTACACAACTGTGATACGACAACATACAACAAGCATGTCAGCCCAGCCAAAGAAGGCACTTCCTACGACAAGCAGGGTTTACTGAAGACTAATTCTAACCCAGTGTTTGCCCTAGGCATAATACTTAGGAGTCATGGACATGTTTTTGGGAGTCAACTTTAGTTTGGAACTTTCATCAAGACATCATCACCTGTGATTGTTTACAAACGACCAAAAACAAGGTAAGGCAGGTCAGGTATTCAATCAGCACTGAGCAGTTAACTGGCAAACATTAGTTTTAGAAGTTTAGATTATCTGAACTAAGGGCCCAGTAGATTTGCATCAACAATGAAGCAAGCTTCTAAATTCACAGCGTATTTGAGATAATTTGTGCATTTTCTGTGTCATGGCAAACACTGCTAACCTGAATCTTCACCTGTGTCTAGCTGTAGTAAATATGCCAGCAGACAAGATACAACTGTTACTTCGAGTTATCTTGGCGCTTTGACGACACTAATACAGCTATGATAAATCAGTACCCGTAGCTCTGCATCAGATATCTCATCAAGAAAATTGGAACTTTCCTGCCATCTTAATGGCAAATACAAACACATCAAGATGGCCTGGTCAGAAGTAGGGCCAGTCAATGTTACCGTCATGAAACAAAATGAACAGAATATCAATAAATAACATAAATGACAAAGAGAAATATTCAAGTGATTCTGTGCGATCATTTGCCTCAACAAGTTATGCGATAGGATATGTATCAACGTCAGAAATATGGTCCAATGCCTGTATTCCTGACCAAGGCAAATGAACAGACCTATCTAGGGACTGACAAAGTACACCACCTTAAGTAAAGAGGGACCTGGGATGTTTTCCCAAACCAATTATTCAGTTTCAATTATTACCACATTCTGGATTCGTAATGAATATTTAGCGGAACAAAAAGCCCAAATCAGTCATGAAATGTATTATCACAATGTGGCTGAATATACATCTTGAATAACAAAATTCATTAAGAATCCTTGATTATATTTGACAATCTATAACTGCTAGGATATATACTACTCAAAAATAGTTAAAGAACAACTGATTATTTCATATGACAATAATTAATTTGTCACACCATAACAGATATAATATTGATATGTAAAAATCAGGTGTTCTTTGAGAAGTATATGTTGTGGAATATCCCAGGTTTTCCACCTCCAGGAGGTACAGTGTTCAGTCCGTTCGACTTAGGTTTGTTGTGACAACATTAGTTATCACTGTATAAAAATGTTGCACATTGCCACATCCTAAACTATCCTGAATCAAGGAATACCTTCATGATGGAAATAAATACATTACTACACAGTTGGTTTATCACTTCATAGGTAAAAGCTTTAACATTTAAAATCAGCTCCATGGCACAGAAATTCTTATCATGCCTGAGCATGCTCAAACATATCATTGTATCATTATCATGAGTATTCTATTAACTTAAATTAGTTTTCATTTATTCTCAAAGTAAATTTCAATATGGTTGGATTTCTGGTGCAAACAAATCAAAAGACAAATTATTTTTTTCTTGTTTTGAATTTTCATGGCAAAATTGTTAAAAAAACACACTTAGAAAACACCTTAACTATCACATTGTGACATGATATGATGCATTGCAGACTGATTTGTTAAAAGAACCCTGTGTCCAGTCATCTACATATCTAATCCAAATCTATGTCTAGGTGCTGAGCATGTCTCTCTGTGCCTGAACACATTCACTTTCTACTGGTGACACAGCGGCAAAAACATTCCCAACACTTCTACACACACCCTTCAAGAGTTGTCATGAAATGGGCATACTCCAAGACTATTGATAAAACTACACTAAAACTCTTTGAAGTGTATAAAGAAACATAGCACTGTTCAAACATGTCTGAAGCACTCTGAGTCCTCATAATTGCTGTACCTCGACTTTAGGTGCCTCTGACTCACTTTGCTCCGGAATCTGAGCTTCACTGGACACACTAGCTTTCTTGACATACCCTTCGAGGTAGCTCAGCCTTGGGGGGAGGCTCATACGGTTCCACGACTGCCTGCGGAAGGTGGGAGGGTTGTCATCCTTAACAGTCTGGTTGGAGAAGTTCAGGTTGAGGAACTCTATCTGTTCATCATCAATCATTGGACCAGCACTTGCAATGCTTTCTGTGTCTGAGCTATCTTCATGGTATGACGACATATCACTTGAAGAAGGAACTCTTAGAGCACGTTCACTACCAGGAGTTCCTAATTCTTTGGAACTTGGCACAACCCTAACTGGAGTTCCTTCAGATTGATGCCTGGAAGAGACTGATTTGGTCACCGGTTCTGCAGCAGGTTCAGAGACGTTGTCGGCAGGTGTATCTTGAGTGGTAGGGGGGTAATACTGAGGTGGTGTGCTACTTAGGGAGTTAGGCCGGGAGGAATAAACCCTCTGAAGGGGGTCCATAGAAGGGTCAATACGTAAAATGAGTCCTTGCAGCTTTGGTGATTTCCTAGATGTGGAAGGAGAACCACTTATTGGACTGTTGCCTCCTTCAGGCGTGCCAAGGTCAGAGTTGTAGTTTTTACTGAGTGGGTGGTGTGTCACCCCCTCAACTCGGGATCTTATCCCTGCAATAGCAATTGGTTGAGACCGCTGTCTCTCGGCCTGACCATCAGCATCATCACTCGGGGCCTCTTGAGATTCTTCTCCAGGTGACTGTTCACCAAGGGCAGTAGATGATTGTGCGTCCGGGAATACTTCTTCGTTCTTCTCCTGTTTTACATGAGCTCTCTGGATGACAATCCTCCCTCTTGGAGAATGCGTGTTAGGGAGATTCATATACTCCTCATCAAGACTAGGTGTGTCAAAATTTTCATCATAGTCTGCAGAACACATGCTGTCAGTTGAAGGACTCATCACGTGACTAGAGTCAATGGCTTGACGATAACTGTCTGTCCTGGCCTTGTCAGCAGTGGGGTGTATCACTGATGGAAAGAGAAAGTCTTTTGAAGAATCCTCCATCTGCAGCTCAACTTTTGATTGGCTAAAAGTGTTCATGCTCTGTGTGGCATCACTTGAGCTGACGGTTACCGTGGTGAGAGAGACATTGGAGCAACTGCTGGTGTGGGGGGTCACACTGCCGTCGATGTGAGGGGAGCCGCTGTCCCATGATGGCGGTGGGGATGGGTCTTCAGCTCCCACACCCGCACTACGCACACCCAGCTGCTGTTGTTTTCGCCGTTCAAGACGCTGGCGGTGGATTTCATCACTGATCGCCTCCAGACTATGAAGAGCCTGGGAGTACAAGGCCTTAGCTGATGCAACATCTTCCTCCAGACTACTCAACGTTAATCTTCTGTTCCTGAAACATGACGGTCAACACATTGTTAAATAAGTAAAAAAACAGAGCTCCAGACAGGCAATGTATTTGCCATTTCCCAGTAAATCTTGAGTTGGTTGAGTACCAATAGATACACAGAGACAATTCACAAAAGCCTAAGAGCAAAAGATCATGTTACACAACAACCATTTGTATCCATATTAGACATTAGACAATTTTCAAGGTATTCTTGTCAAATGGTAACCTTTCCATGAGAGTACTTGTAAAGTAATCACACGAAAACATTATTGATACATTGAAACTGTTATCTACTAAGAAATCCCCAAAATATTGTGTATTACACAGACTGTTATTAAAAGAGATGTCTACTCACTTCCATGACTTGATTAAACTTGATTTTCATCTCAAAATAAGGTCTGAAACAGATAAGAATGACAAATAATGATCATTAGAAAATATGAAACAGTGTGTGTCTGTGTGTGGTTGTTGCTGAATGTCATACTCAGCAATATTCCAGCTATATGACAGCCCAGAGGTTGATATTGTAAGCACCGATTCATACAGTCGGGCAGGGGTGGAAATAACTTTAAAACTGATAGTGTACTCCGGTACAGTGGCACATGTAAAATCACTTGCCCTGATAATTTTTCCACTATACTGGACGATTTTCTTGTTGATTTTTTAAATAAACAACATAATTAACATTGGAAAGTCAACTGAACACCGGTACAGTGTGATATACAAATTTGCTTGCCCGACAGAAAAAAAACACTGGCCTGGGGCGTGGGGCAATGGGATATTTCCACCCCTGGTCGGGGTATGTTGACACGCCTCGTCAATGAGCCTGACCATTTCATCCTATCTCTAGACTAATACACGTCACTAGGGAGAAATTCCTTCCCTGGTATCCTCACAGGTGAAATAACGTAACTACAATTCGCAGTAGCTGCATTGGAGATTCCTTCATACAGATTATACAGGACACACAAGCTTACATTGATCCATCCACACCTCATTTTAAAATTAATCTACATTTTCTCATGTTTACTCATCTTCACCATTTGCCTTAATTCAGTCATGGCATCAAAGGGAGGTAACTCTCGTGTGCATTATCCCACTTCCCAGGCAAACCCTCAAACAAAGCAATAGAGTTGAAAACTAAGGATCACACCCTGCAAACTGTGATAACATGTAGACCACAGACAGCATCACAAGGCACAGTGTATATTTGTCCTTAACAAATAAAAATGAGGCATGGAGTTTCCCAAGTGCTAATAAAACAAAGTACCTTCACCATAAGATAGTTAAAAAAAATGATTAAATCTTTCTTCCCATGTACATAAAACATATACAAGAAATATATATATATTTAAATTCGTTTTCAAATTAAACGTGGTTACCATGGTTACATGTAACAACACAGGTACGAGGGTGTTACCAAGATTATATACACAGGGCTCCTGTATCTCAGAGTGACAGAGGGAAACCGGAATATCGGTGAGCAATACAAAGGAAGTGCATCCAGGTCAGTGGAAAAAATAAAAGACAACCAGCATTTCAAGACTTGACTCAACAAAAGATGACAGTACGACTATTTGTACTGTTGTGAAACTGCCAACAGAGACTACAAATGTTCTCTGAACTTAAAAGCATTTACAGAACAATAAAAGTACTGGAGGGGAGGCGAAATGGGGTTTTGTGTTATTTCACTCATATAGCAACATGTATGCATGTGTAGCTGCTTGCATCGGTCCAGCTTTAAGCCATTTTTACTGTTCCATGGATGCCTGTGCAGTTCAAAACGGTTATCTCTCTCAAGATGCATAATACTCTGAGCCGACCAATCCTTGTTTCATCCACAATGCCAAGCATCAGACAGGATAACAACTACCATCTTATAATGCCTTTTGGCAGTGTTTAAAACTCCCAAAATTCCAAGCCAGACAGCCGGAGTGATAACCAGTGGTACCAGTCTGGATACAAACTTGCCTGTCCACTTTTCAACAATAGAATACAAAATGAAAATCAGGTTTCTGAATACTTTACTGCATATATTGTAACGCAAGGCTAAGCTACATGGCCTGGTTTAGAAAATAGAAATATGCTGTATTTTCTGCCTCACAATGAAGATCAGAGAAATATCTACCAGACCACCGGACAGGCTACTTTGAAATTTGACTGTCCGAGATGAAAATAGACCGTTCCGGACAGTCGGGCAGGCGGGAATTTTAAACGCTGCTTTTGGTAAAAACAGTTGCGCTCTTCAGGCACACATCCTATCAACTATACTTCCCTGGACAATGTCAAAGATATCATTCTCTAAGGAACGTTTGTTAAACATGTGTATGATTTTTAATTATGTGATACAAAGTAATTACTGAACTTGCATACAATCATGAAATGACCAGCCAACATTATCTGCTTGGATTAAGACATAACACATATACAGACCAACCCTAAACCACAGCTCACCTTTCACCCACAAAGCAATGCAATCAACTTCATTTCTAGGTGCAAAATAGAGGGGTGGAAATATGGGTCTGGAAGGTTGAAGACAAACAAGCTATAGGGATGATGCAGGGATGTGTTCAGGTATTCAGGAATGATCCTGGTTGTATAGTGTGGAGTCTGTGTGAACAGGCATGAATCTCTGTGTAACCCCATACCTTCATCAGCAGAATATTTACAATGTTTCACTGTTAAACACCTCACTCAGCAATATTCCAGCTACATGATGGCATGTTAATAAAAGTCTGGACCAGACAATCCAGTGGAAGACCACAGGCTACACAGTTTGGGATATGATGATAGCATCAACGAAGTCAGAGAGCCTGACCAGTTGACGACACCAAGCATTGCTTGCTGAAGATAAATTTTGTCAATGAATGTCCACGAATGTCAATGAATGCCAATGAATTACCCAACTGTCTCAGCAGCAGCAGCACAGTTCTCAGAAGTTCATGCAGCATCATATTTCTGCTCAGTAATTGAAGCAATTGCATGCATGGAATATTGATAACACAATTTTGATGCAAAGATTTAAAGTAAAGCATTGCGAGTTGCAACTAGAATGTCTCTATTTTTCTAACAACATTTAAAAGCCCTCAAAGAAATTTGGTGTATTTGTGAAAAATACCTTGACACATTGATGTCAGCACGGAATATGTTTTGATATACACTAATGCAAAGATGTGAATATATAGATAATTTACAATTGATGTTTGCACACATGAAATATGTTTGTAGGTCAGTAGACTGGTGTAGAATCTAGATCTGCATAATGAGAGAAACGGTGCAGGTAGCTGCTGAGAGAGGGGGAATGTATGTCCTGTCCTAAGTTCCATACCCCTGTCACACACTCGCCTCAACACTGACATTAGAATATTGTCAGTCAGGTTCAATTTTCCTTATAAATACAATTACTTCATATTTTTTCCCAAAAAGAAAACAACCAATCTAACTTATTTTTATAAGCAAGGCAGTGGATTAGTTGATGTTGCTCTTCTCAAAGCAGAATGTAAACAAATCAAGTTTAGAACAATGTACAGCATACCTTTAGTTTCTTCAAACAAGAAAAACATTAGACCAAAATCTTTTGATTCTACATGACTAAACCTGCCGTCTAGCATACTTTTCAGTAAACTTTAGTGTTCAATATTTCATATTAGTATCTTTGGTTAATGTAGATGGGTTTGAAATACAATGGGAACAAAATTTCCTAAAGCTCTGATTTTGGAGTACATTATAAGTTGTTCACTGGTCTTGATGGGGACATGGGCTGATGTACCCTTGATGTTAAGATCGAGGGTACATCACCCTATAGGCCCCAAGGGACCAGTGAACAACGTATTTATCTTACTGAACACCTCAATTTTGGACTGTTTGAAGCACGGGTATTGGATCATAGTATGGAGGACAAAACGATAAGACGACAAGAAAAACAAAGTTAGAGTTATCTCCCTTCCATTGATTTGCATTCGCAAAACATCGGTAATTTCCGTACATCATACATGATTCAATGTTATTTGAGATGAGGATTTTCTACTGCGAAGTACCAAATGAGTTCGGCATTCCCAGCGGGGTACATAGAAAATGTTACTCGTTTGTAAGCGGGGTATATTGAAAATAATAGAAGAGCGCTCAGCCAATCAGAAAATGACATTCATGTGTGAGGAAAGATAAATTCTTTTGTAGAATTGTATCCAAGGTGAAAGTAAGGGTATATGCCCCGAAAGAGATTAGGTCTGAAAAGTTGAACCCCATTGTCTCAAACTTCAGGGGTGAAAGAACTTTAGAGCAAAGGTTTATACAAAATGTCAATGGTAATCACTGGATTATCATATGGCTTATGTTGTAATGATTGAGTAAGTCATTTTACCAAAAGTTAAAGTCACTGGACTATATACTGAGTCCAAGATAACCAGGAATTTAAAACATCCGGGTTATAACACATCATAGTTATCAATATTGTAAAAGTTTCTCAGGACCGGACTGCAAGTTGTAAATGGGGATTTGACACATATCATAACACATTTCAACTAATGTTGAAGTGTTAATGTACCTATATGCTATTCTTCAAAAGGAGCAATGAACAATGTGAAGATCTAATGGTGAGGATCACCAATTATGAACTTGGTATTTGTCTGTTTCCCGTTGCATCAAAAGTTCATACTTAAACCTGCCTATTCCGTGAAAGCTATTACCAAGAACACTTGCAACTATCTATTTATGAAACTTAAAGTATTTCTCATGGTTGTTTTGTGCCCCCTATCCTGCAAGTCTCAACATGTTTGATCTTCCTTCTGAAGAACCTACTTCTCCGTACAACCAAAAAGGGGGCGGTGGGGTGGCCTAGTGGTTAAACCATTCATTTGTCATGCCAAAGGCCATGGTTCAATTCTTCACAGAGGTACAATTTGTGAAGCCCATTTCAGATGTTCCTCGCAATTATATTACTGGAATGTTCTTAAAAGCAGTATATAACCCAACTCACTCACTACATCCAAAAGGCATGAGCTGTCAGTGTTATTACATTGCATATATATATAGTTGCTTCCAAATCCAGCAGACACTTTACTTCATGCACCAAGCAACAAACTTACATATTTTCACATTATGCAATACCAAACAAGTTTATTCATAACATTCTCACAATGCAAGTATGATAATACTGCTCTATGCAATCTAACCTACATACATGCAACAGGTGCTTGAATTGTGAAGAGAAACAGGTCAAAGGACACTGACTTATCTCAACTCTCTATTTTAAGTATCAGAGCTACAGATAACGTTTTGGGTCATTGAGTTATGTACTCCCTTGTGTTCATCTCAATTGGGTATCCTAATTTTCCTTTGAGTAACGAAATAAATTGTACTCACCTCAATCAAACTCATTTGGGTATTGTGCCAATTTCCA